GCTGACGCGAAAAACACCCAAAGAACGATCGCAATCGGCAATTTGAGGCACTCTAAGCCTCGGAGCTTGAATGTCGTGCAACTTGTGTGTCTCCCTGCCTGATTCCCAGCTTTCGGAATGCCCACGAGAATGCCTCTGCCACTGTTTGAAAATCGACCTGCCATGCGTTGGTTGTCGGTCTTGCGTTTCCTTTAAAGCCTTACATGTGGCTCTGGATCTAACTGTATCTCGACTGGCAAGACCAACATCTGATAATCTGCACCCACAAATGTTGCGCATGAATACACCCAAAGAAAGGCATAGGCATGCATTGCAACTCCGTGAACCAAAACCATCAGCAGCTGTGCAAAGAACTGGCCTTGCCAACATCGGGCATCGTGTACTCGTCACTACGTGAAGTGCTTCCTTGCAGCATCTGCACTTGCATTTCGATCGAATAGAACTGGCTTGTCACCTTCACTTCTGTCTGCTGTTTTGTCCCACTTCGTCCTGTATATTGCTGTCTTTTAAAGCGGAGTCCGTGCATCGCACGAGGTCAAGCAGCCTCAGACCCACCGGCGCTCTTTCAATGACCTCACTAAGCCGAACCGCAAAGATCTTCGCGCGAGGCCCCTGGAATAGATGCAGAGCCGGCCTTCGAAAGCATATCCCCGCTTTGGTTGTTCCACGCGCCGCGCATTGAGCGCCTGAGGGCTTAGGATGCTCATGCCCGTTTGACCCCCGAGCCTCAACTTTGCCACTTTTTGGAACTGATGTGGGGCCAAGAACTCCGGTCTCAGGAAAGAAATGGTGTAGACAAGAAACAAAGAGGATAGTGCTGTTTGCTGCTCCTGCTTTGCCTTCCTCTAAAGAAGCTGCTGCTACGACTTCTGGCTCCTAGCCAAACCTTGTTGCACTCAAGCTGGGATGACAAAGCCCGGCTCTAAGAAATCTGCATGTGTATTTATGAACACACATACATGCATGCCCTTGAACTGAACCGTTGCAAAGATTCCATCCTTATACATACATACGTACATACATGCATGGGTACATACATACATTGGAAACAAACAAACATACATGCATACATACATACGTACATACATACATATAAAAAACATACAGGCATACAGATATGCACACATACACGTGTACACACAGACATGCATACAGATATGCACACATACACGTGTACACACAGACATACATACATACATACATACATACATACATACATACATGCATTAATACATACATTACATCACATTCCATTCCATTGCATTACATGCATGCGGACATACATACATACCTACATGCATACATACGTACATACATACATACATACATACACACATGCATATGCATATCTGTACTATATCTACACAATGTCTCTGTGTATGTATAGAGAATGTGTATGGGGTATGCAAACGTATGTAAACGTATGTATGTGCGTGTGTATGCATGTACTTGTGCAAGTACGTCTGTATGTATGCATGTATGTATGTATGTATGTATGTATGTATGTATGTACGAATATATGCATGCATGTGTGATCGCATGTATGCAGGTACCCATGTATGTGTACGTAGCATGTATAATGAATGTGTATGAGGTATTCGACTGTATGTAAACGTTTGTATGTGCGTGTGTATGCATGTACGTATGCAAGTACGGATGTATGTATGTATGCATCTGTGAATCCATGTATGGACTTATCGACGAATATCTAGATGCATACGTATACATATCTCCATGTGTGCAAGAAACTGTGCATGTGTAATTATCTATCTGTCTGTCTGCCTACCTGCCGGGCCTAGCTGTCGATCTACCTACCTATCTATCCATCCTTCCTTCCATCGATCTACCTATCTATCTATCTATCTATCTATCTATGTCTAGCTATATATCTATCGACCAATCAAATGTACAGAAACATAAACACAGGCGTGGCTGAAGCCAAGCGACCTGTGCGTTGCCGTGCCTTAGACCAGACTCCGAGGCCGTGCATGCGACATATGATAACAGAGACCGTAGCCATAAAGAAACCCTGAACCCCAAATGAACCCTAAACCCTAACCCTAACTCAACCCTAAAGACAAAACCCTAGATTCCTTCTACGGGCTTTATGAAGGGACCTTTACAAGTAGCACCGGGTTCCCTTGCAGGCCTTAGAGGGTTTTGAGGGTAAGAGTCGTATACTTACGTTCATGACTCATGACCCTACATGCCCTACATGCACAGAGTACAGAATGCAAGCCGTACACACAGATACACACATACTCTTTTTTCCCGATCCGCATGCTTCCGTGTTCGCACTCCTTGTACCTAGTCTGTATGAGCAAATCGAAAACTCATACATGCAATAATAATGGCAACATTAATTTGGTGATGCAAACAGTGAAAACATTCGGCAGTACACAGCAAATCAATGTGTATGAGTTGTTCTGATATGTCAACAAGACATTCACTCCCCCTTTTGGTCAGCCTCTTCTCCAAACCTTAAACCCTAAACCAAGACACCCTTTAACCCTAAACCAAGATGCCAGAACCGCTTCCGGCACCAGTGGCTGCCACCGCAATTCCAGCCAACTCTCTGCTTGAAGGAGGAGTCCCATCCTCGAGAAGGGAGGTCTTCAGAGATAGGGTTTCGGCGCTCACACTCGGACAATCCAGGCGAGGCATATGGTTCGAGTCTGCAACGTGAAACGGATAGGGTTTAGGGTTTAGGGTTTAGGGGTTTAAGGGTCTAGGGGTTTAGGGTTTGGGTTTTCTTGACACTCACACTCGGACAAGCCAGGCAAGGTCCATCACGATACTGTCTTCAGAGGATAGGGTGTTAGGGTTTTAGGGTTTAGGGGTTTGGGGTTTAGGGTTTTCCCCGCCCCCAAGGGGTTGAGGCTTTCACCCGGGATAATGTAGGGGCCTGAATAATTAGAATAGTGTTTTGGGGGGGTTCCTTCTTATAATGAGAAGAAAAATATACACCAAACCCTAATCTACCTATCAAGGCCCCTATATTAACTAGACCAGCGATGGAAGAAGTTGCAACAGAGGGGCCCGCATTGTTTTCTGAAGATCGAGTTGCTTGTGAACTTGCAAGGCAGCAAGAGGCTCAATTCACCACGTAGGCGTGGACAACGTCTGGCGACGAACAGACAGCTTACACATCTGTATAACACCTATCAACTCTTCTCAAGTCATTCGTGCTCCTGCGTCTTTGCAATGCGGAGCTGTCGGAGGAATCATGTGCTTTCCTTCCAAGAATCGCCTACCCCTCCTTCCTATGAACTGTCAGAGAGAAGTATCCAAGCCTAAACCCTTTCTTGAACCCAGACTCTGCCAATCAGCTGGGAAGCAGCACGTCCAAGCCTCCACCCTGAACCCTAAACCCTACGGAGGTATTGTGGCCTGCTGGGTACAGGACTGTGAGGATGCCAAAAAGTCGAAGCCACTCTCAAGTCCTAATGCCCCTAAACCCTAAACCCTAAACCCTAATGCACCAGGAGGCCAATGCCATCGAGATCATGCGAGAAAATGGCAGGCACTGGGGTCTCCTGACATCATACACAACCTCTAGTTTGGGTACTGCCCCCATACAGTAACAGTCGATAATAGGGCTACTATTAAGGGCCTAATATATCCATAATATAAATATTATCCAACTGTTACTGAGTGGGGGCAGCACCCAACCTATAGTCTCCATTGTAGTTCCTTGTTTTGGTTTAACCACTTCCATATATTAAGGATCCTATAACAGGTAGCCCCAAAAAGGAACTACAATGGAGACTATCTCAGCCGACGGCCATGGCGCTAACCCCAACAGAACACCCAGCAGCCTCTTCGAAGTTCAGCCAGATACCAAGGAGATGGATCCAAGCCCGAGAACCCAGCTCTCTAAGCCCTCTCTCATCTCCTGCTGGCGGGCAGCTCCGTCTGCCCGGTATTGAAGGGTGGAGGCCAAGAAAACCACACCTTGGGAGTCTCTGGCTTCAGGGGCCCAGGGGCCCCTGAAGTCGAGGGCAAACGCAAATGCCCGACTCCTTTGATGCCCTCTTCTTGCGTGGGTCCGATTACCTGCTTGCTTTGGTGCCCTGCAACAACAACTTCCAACACACCAACAACATGGTCGGCGACAACGACAACGGCAGTGCCAGCGACAATGACACTGCCTCCGGCAACGGAAGCAGTAGCAGCATCTCAACAGGGAAAGCGCAACAGCAACAGCGCCAACGATGGCAGTCTTGTAGGGCCAGAACCGAAGGGGGATAGGATATTTACGACGAGGCCAGCGCTTGAGTCATCGTCCTCGTCGCCAAAGCTTTAGGGTTGAGGCAATCCAAAGGCAGGTAACAGACTGGAGCACTTCCTTCGAGGATGTGTTGCCTTCGGTAGATGCCCATCCAGTCCTGCCCGAGGTCTATGCTGGCATACTGACACATGTGTATGGGTGTGTCAACGGGCACATATCTGCGCTAGTCAGCGTGTGCGGACAGTTGTCAGAGTAGGAACATAACCAACACGCGAACAAATACTATACAGCGTGATATACACACGGCGCTACCTATTCATCCATAGTAACCGGTTTCGTGATACCAGCAGCAGCAGCAGCAAGGGCGGTCAAGGTGATGATACGAGTAGTTCTGCCACTAAATGACGAAGTGACAGTCGGTCTTGGAGTATAGTCGTTGTCATCTTGGTGGTAGTTCTCGTGCTATACGCTCTCACAACCCGGACAAGCCAGGCGAGGTTCCATAGGTCTGGGTCGGCGTGATACTAATACCAGGAAACCGTGACCACGACTATACAGGGAGCAGCACAGTAACCGAATAACATCTGCGCAATAGTGTAACCCAAAGGACAAAGGCATCCTTGGTCACGGACCCCTTGAAACTACAGTTGCTCTGTGTCGGTCTCATGCCTCTGCCTGAGCGAGTAGAAGCACAGGACAATGACAACAGCTCCCGAATGCCTCTGTACATGCTGGAAAGCAGCGGTTTTCTCACACTTTGGCGAGAACTTCAGAACCACCGGTCCTCATCGTTAACGAGGCTGTACCCCAGCACAAAATGCACGCGAGTCAGGCCATATTCTTTGAGGGACATCTCTGCCTCCACGACATCCGTGCCGGGCTTTGTGGCCAGCAGCTCGCGACGCCTTTCCTGGCATGCTTCGTTGTGCTTGTCCCGGAGTTTGATGATGTCTCGCACCGCAAGGTTCCCTTCCGGGATGAAGTCCTCCAGTACATTGGGCACCAAGGAGCCTTCCTGCACGGTGAAAACCACCTCCACCCCGGCGTGGACCACCGGAGTCTTGGTAGTGACCTGCATACCCGGCTTTCCATGCTTGGATGAGAACTGAGGAGGCGCTGCCACTGTTTCTTCAAAGGGCCAGGGAATTGATGGATGGCCACACAAATGCCCGGGTCCACCAAACCAGCATGCAATGCCCGCCAGTACAGATGCCACCTTCAGTGCCATCGTTTCCAGCGCCGGAACCGGCACTGCGGCGACCGGGTCACCCACCAGGCCCACGATCTCCAGCAGGCCGCTGGTGGAGATGGCAACAGCCGTCAGGGTGCTGCCTTCCGGTGCCGTGTCGATTTTTGCAAGAGGGTGACCATCAGCAGTTAGGAGCCTGCATGCACTCGTGCTCATTTTGGTGGCCGTGAGCTCCCTCAACTCATCGAGGGACGACACTTCCACTGCTTCTATTAGGGTCTTCCCACTCATCCCAACGACTGTGAAGGTACGGCGCAAAGGTTCTGCATCGGGCACTCCGGCCATGCACCAGGAACGTGGAAGACCCGGGAATGCACGAGAGGCCCTACTCTGATGGACAAACACTCCTTGAGCCG